GTCATGTTTGATAGTGGTATGAACTTTTGTCTATTGAATTTGATCTTTTCATGATCATATCCTTAGTTTCTTTTTTAAATTTAAGGTGTAGCGAGTGGAACTGAATTTTGTGGTAAGTAGAATAGAAAAACAATAAATAAAAAAAGATAACATAAAAAAAATAATACCATTGAAGGTCCTGAATCTGCACCAATCACTGATCCTTCATTTTGGGTTTTTAACATCTGGGATCCAGGACTTTCATCTTCAACAACAACAACTACTACTCCACCGACAACTAGAACAGTTACAACAAGACCTGTGTCAACTACTTCGGTTAATGCTCTAGTAAGTTCTTTGATATCTTGTTTCTGTGATCATTATTAACTTTTCTTAGTTAACAACAACGGGTATTGTGGCTACAACTACATATTCTCCTTCTACGACAACTAGCACTAGTTCAACTTCTACTTCATCAAGTAAAAGAAACTTTTGTTTTTATTTGAATAAAGAAAATCAATTGAAATAAATTTAGTGAGGCGTATATATGAATTTAGTATTTGTTAGTGTAGAACTATGTAAACTTTGATTGCCTAACAAGAAAACTTTTCAAGATGCAGCTTTTTTGTTAATAAGAGTTAAATATAGTTTAATGTGAATTGTTGTAGCTACAACAACAACGGGTACAACTACAACAACTACGACAACAGGACCAAGTGTTGATATCATGTATCCTAAAGACCTGGTAAGTTTCAAGTTCAGTCTGATTTATTTCTCGAGAATATCACATATGTCACAGATGAATTTGAGTTTTAGGTAAAATTAAACTTTGGCAGAATTCGCTTCTATTTAGATGCGAAGTTACAATACAATTTTCTTGTATTTAAGAAAAAATTCTCGTTTTCATTCCCATGAGGAGAACATAACTATGAATTGTTTTTTTTTAAGTACATAGAGTATTGATTCTCAGTATTCAGATTCTAATGTAAGTACATATGACTTCTACATCGTTATTTTGATCTTTTGTTTTGAAATATTTTAAATACTCTATATAATTTTGCCTAAATATCAACTTATATTTATATATTTTAGGAAAAAGCATGTCAACAACCAGTGATAATTATGAATGTTGTTTCCATGTTTGCTATGATTTCTATGCAAGCTATAGGAATGTTTGTTGCTTTTTCAAAATTTGCTACTATGTTTAATCCATCAAAAGTTCAAGCACAATTGAGATACGCACAACGAATAAAAAAACTTAATCGACATTGATGAAGTCTTGTTCTTTCTTGAACATTTCAATTAGTTTTATATTTGAACTCATTTTACTATTGTTCCTTTTTAAAACAACGATCTTGCTTCACATAATTTTATTTCAAGAATTTTTACATAATATACTCGTTTTTTTCTATTGAAATAAAATATATCATAACAACCTTATAAAATTTTGAATTGATCTTATAATTTTATAATATGAATGACAGTCATTCTTGAAATCATAGAATTTTATTTTAAATGAATTTTTCTAATAAATTACATATTGATATGTTCAGAAAGAAAGAAAAAAGAAGAATATCTTCAAAGAAAACATTTCTATTCTTTAATCAATTGCTTAACTACTGCCCATTTCAAAAAAGAAGGCGGATAGGTATTTTTTGAATAACTTTTGATAGAAAAATGATAGAGAGCTGTGGTTTTGACCGTTGGAAAGAGTAGATGAAAACGCATCGAACCATATAAGACAATGACTTTTAACTTGAATTTTTGAAACTTTTTGCAACAATTGAACAAAGAAATGCCCTAAAAACAGTTCTGATTTTGCCAGAAAAAAACTAAAAAAACTGAGTTTTTTACAGAAATTGCTGACAAAAGCGACTAGAATTGTCGAATAAAATACCTAAAACTCCCAAAGCAGTAAAGCTTTGAATCAAGACATAGATATCGTTTGTAGCTTGTGAGCTGGCGATTCTAATCTGCTCTTCAAAGTTTAAGATTTGTTTTATCTTCATAGAACAACAGTCTATTCTTCGAAGATGACCATAGATCACTACTTATTTATGAATTAAATTCTAACAATTTTATATGAATCGACGCGCTGGATAGACCTCTTTCCAACGGTAAAAACTGCAGCTCTCTAGCTTGTTCCTATCAAAAGTTATTCAAAAAATACCCACCCGCCTTCTTTTTTGAAATGGGCAATAGATAGTATACAGTGGCCATAGAATTATCATTTGTTTTTTTCCATTACACGATGAGTTAGTTATACGACATTCACGTTATGCTACGTTTGATAATGGTATGAACTAGTGTTCATTAATCTTTTGTCTTCGATGAAAATATGATCGTTTGCTGTTTTAGATGTTGATAATGACATTTTAGAGTCCGTGAATTTCGGTCGAGAACTCGCCTAGTAAACTCGAGAAAAGAATAGGAAGTTGGAAACAAGAATCCAGTTACAGGATACAGTGGCTGAATCCACCCGGATATAATCATTTCTAGCCGAAACTAGAAAAATTCAACCATTGGATTCAATTATCGGATTTCTGCTCCCAATTTCCTACCATTTTTCTAGCGAACAACAACCCATACATCTTGACCTGGCGATCCATCATTTTGGTCTTTTATTCATTGGGA